AGAGAACAGACTCAACGATTCCTCTGTAGAACTGTATCAGCAGCTCCTGGGGCAGGTCGAACTTCCTGAGGTGGCACAGGAAGTACATCTTCTGCTGTGCCTTCTTGATGATGGTCCTGATGTTGGACATCCACTTCAGGTCCTGGGAGATAGTGGAGCCCAGGAACTTGTAGGACTTTACTGCTGATACAGTGCTGCCAAGTATGGGGGGGGTTCTTCCTAAAGTCCTCTGTCATCTCCACTGTTTTGAGCGTGTTCGCAGCGACCCCACAGGCCCAGCTGCTCACCCTCCCGTCTGTAGGCTGACTCATCGCCGTCTCAAATGAGACCGATGACTGTTGTATCATCAGCAAACTTTAGGAGCTTGACAGAGGGGTCCTTCGGGGTGCTGCCGTTGGTGTAGAGTGAAAACAGCAGAGGGGAGAGCACACACCCTTAGGGGGCGCCTGTGCTTATTGTCCGGGTGCTGGATATGGTTTTCTCCAGCCTCACCTGCTGCTTCCTGTCTGTCAGAAAGCTAGTAATCCATTGACAGGTGGGGGCAGGCACAGTGAGCTGGGTCAGTTTGGAGTGGAGGATGTCCAGGATGATGATGTTGAATACCAAGCTAAAGTCCACAAAGATGGCTGGTGCGTATGTCCCTGGGGAGTCAAGGTGTTGCAGGATGTAATGCAGTGTCATGTTCACTGCATCGTCCACCGACCTGTTTGCCCAGTAGGCAAACAGCAGGGGGTCTAGCAAAGGGTCAACGATGTCCTTCAGGTGAGCCAACACCAGTCTTTCAAAGGACTTCATAACTACAGATGTCAGGGCGGCAGGTCTATAGTCGTTCAGTCCACTGATGGGGGTTTTCTTGGGGACTAGAATGATGGTGGAGCGTTTGAAGCAGGAGGGGACTTCACACAGCTCCAGTGACCTGTTGAAGATAAGTGTGAAGATGGGGGCCTTGTTGGGGGAGCAGCTGCTGGGTCTGAGGTGGGGAGGGTGAGGGGGGAGTGTTGATTGTCAAACCTGCAGTAGAATACATTCAGGTCATCTAAATATAAATACATTTGATTTGATTTGAAATTACTTCTGTTGTGATTTGGTGCTATATAGAAAATAAAATTGCAGGGCGCCCCCCTAATATAATGGTAGGGGAAACACTGAAGAGTCCGGTGATTATTGCCTTGGAGCCTTTATGATAAATGGTTGTGCTAAACGTGCTATGAGTAAAAGCTGGGTGAGCGTGGAGGGAGAGGAGTAAAACCAGAGGAAGGCTACAATCCATGGCGACTTGTGTTAGGGGTTTATAGGTTGCTGAACCTTCTATGAGATCCACATATACTAATGTTGAAACAAGACTAAGAGTTTACATCCATGCTATCAGCTTTGAGGCAGTACCTGGGCACAGTGTTGATGTGAGCTAAATACCAACACATCACAAGCCAACACAAGTGCATTTCCACCGCAAAAACTTTAGCTTTCCTAGAACTAGTGTTCAGGACTTTTCCAAAGGGCAAAAGATCCTCAGGTGCACTGTGATTTGTTTTAAACAACAGGGCCAAAGCATGGAGAACATTAAGTAAATTAGTCCACTGACATATTTATTGCCTTTCACATCATTTGCATGCATGTGCATGGTTGTCCTCTGCTAAAATGGACAACAACCAGGAGACCATCATCGGTCCAGTGGTCATAAAATCTCTTTGGCTGATCCATGCTGATTACTGTCAAGCATGAACTACAAGAAAAGCTATGTGCTTGAAATTGTGGGTTTTTAAAAATATGGGTATACAACAATGCTACGAAGAATGCCTATATTTGACCAATCAATGTTTAGCGCAGGAAGCTTCCATCTGAAAGGTCATGAACCTTGAGAAAGTACTATCAAGGGAAAAGTTCCTGTCATGCAAAAGCACCTTGAGTTCAATGTTTCAGCATGCTAACATTTGCTAATTAGTACTAAACAAAGTACAGAATGTCATGAGTTTTGCAGGAATTTGGTCATGACTGAAGTGTGATTTAAATTTTGACATGATAGTGGCCCTAGATGAAATCATAATTTTTCATACTCATCAAACCATTCAGTGACCATTTGTGCCCTATAGATGGGAGCATTGTCATCCTTGAAGAGAGGCCAATCATTTGTTCAGGTTATTCCTTTAATTTGTCACCTGTCTGGGACAAAGGTGGTGGACTGAATGATCATCTGACAGACAAACAGGCTGACTTTGTCATTTCTAAAGTCATGCAGTTACTGTGGCTAATGACTACAAAACATTTCTTAAAACCACTTAATACACTTGCCTCTTGTGACACTGATTCTGAAGCCTCCAATCACTACTGATGCCAATCTATATAACCTATAACCTTATTTAGATAACAGGAATTATATCACACAGAATCCAAAATGTCTTATCAGATGAATGACCTTGTTTAGATGTATACTAGAGAGGCCAACAGTAAATGTAGGCGTTACATCCAGGCTTGTCCACACAGCTTCCCATGAACACAAACACACTGTTCAACACAAACACTGATATAATCTGAACCTTTTTAAGTGTAAAGTCCCTAGTTTTTGGTTAAAGACTAACAGATCAATTTTATCATCATCTTTAGTGGTTTAATTTATGAAGCTATCTCCTCTGTAGATGAAGTCACCTATGACCAGTGAACCCACAGTACGATCCTCACAGATGTGTGATCTCAGCTCTGTCAGCTTGTCTCATCTCTCCCTATCAGGTGTTCTCATCCGCAGCTTCCCTTCATGGGAACTGGTTGTGACTGTGCAACAGTATAAAGGTGATCCACTGAACAATAAACAGACACCAGAAAAGGCACAATACTAAAAAAAACTCAGGCCGTGCACCAGACCTATGTTGAACAATCCAAAAAATTGCTGGCAACCATTAAAACCTCCCTACAAAGACTTCATTTTGAATTTAAAGAGATAACGAAGCTGATAAAAGTTCTGTGAGAACAAGCTGTAGCCGTTCTGTCTTTTTAAAGTGTGTGCAGCATCTTTAATTACAGGAAATACGCTGAATCCAAAACAGTGAAATAATATACTGGAGGAGGACATTGGGCTGTCTACTACATTATATTAAGTCATCGCTTAAAAGCATGAAAAGCCAGTTGGTACAAACACTAGGTGGCAGATGACACTAAGTAGATGACATCTGACAATTAAAAAGCAGAGACACTCTCCGTAAAAGAAACACTCAGTAAGTTCACTGCCATTAAAACACACTTAGCCATAGTGAGACATTACTGTATAATGAATAGCGTGACAGACAGCAGGGAACAATAAAGGGAGAAAACAGAAGTTAGAGTCTGGAAAAGTGTGTTTGTTGTCAGTTCAAATCCCCAAACCACCTGAGAAAATGTGCCTGAATGACTAACATTCTCCTGTGTCTCAATAAATAGGTGTTAATATGACCTCAAGGAAAAGCTTTTTACCTGTTATCTCAGCTGTAGAAGGCTGGTTGTATTTGGAAGTATTGGTGTGAAAAGGAAATTACATCCTCCGTGCTCCTCTGACTTCCTGTAAAGAACAGTGTTAACCATTACACAATGTCAACTGTATTCTAACCCACAAGAGGAATGACTCATCTAGGACAAACTTAATGTTAAGAGTTTTTCATGGCTAGCAAATAGAGCACAGTCAGTATTAAAACCTTATATTTTTAAGATGATCCTATGCATAAACATATATGCACATGTCAAGTTTTAAATACATGCTGATAAACCCCTCAAATCACTGAATGTTGCTGTGGCCTGTTTTCCAAAATTACAGGTGTTGGTCTTGATACAAAGCACATGTATGGATTAAATATGCATATGCAAATGCAGATGCTTACCATATGCAAATGTAATTCATGTATAAGCACAAATACATGTTGGATAGACATATACAACTGCTAGGACCCATTTGAACATTATGAACTTTTGAAGCTCTGTATGATTCACAACTCTGCACTTTACCAAAGCTAAGGCTAGTGATCCCTCACTACTGTTTGTGAGACCCTTTGAGAGATGGGGAAAAAATGGAAAACAGGAGGAAAAGGGAAAACACACTGACAGGGTGTTCTGGTGAGTTTGGACAGTACTGCAAATTGGAGCAGAGGGTAACAGACCAGTCCAAATCAATGTCCAGCATATGGTCTATCTCAGTGGGATGTTGAGTCCTTAGCCACAATGCCCCCTTAAATATTTGGTTCCCCCTTATCCTGCTTTGTGCACACATGCACACATTGATGATCTCCCATCCTCTATGAAGGAAATAGTAGAAAACAGAAAAAGAACTAAAAAGATGATGATTCTCTAGATCCCAGTGACTGTGTGGGTGTGCATTAGCACAAGAGTTGCACTGTGGTGAAAAAGATAATCCCTGGACATAACGTCATGTAAATTACTGTCTCTCTCCCAAGTCACAGCGGTCAACAAGGGTGGAACAGATAAACATTACAGCTCATCTTAAGCAGAAGGGGTGTAATCTTGTCATGGAAACACTGAATCAGAATGACATCACTATTTCACACGTTGTTAACTACAAATAAAAGGATCTCTAGTAAAACGGTTATGTAAATACTCTGAAGTGTGGTTTGCAGTAAATTAATCTTGGATAGCTTTGTTCAATTTGTAGCATGAGCAGGCTAAACAGGAGTCCATCACTTTTTTACTACCTCTTTATCCTTTTTTAATATTGCTTGATTATTAAACTGATTGCTGTATTGACAGAAAAGGCACCAGAAGTACTGAGTAGAGAGGTTCAAACTGTTTCTGTTTTTCAAATCCAGGCAATCCACATTGCCTTTAATGTTACCTGTATAAGAAGAATGGAACTACAAGAAGAGTGAAACTGTGAAGCCATCTAGTGGTGTCTGTTTTCTTTCAAAATCAAAAGAGCAGTAAAAAATTGCTTGTAATAGCAGGTATGAAATTTAAAACAAGAAAAAAATAACCCATTAAAGGGATGTCAGATAAATTATGTATTTAATATCTTTAATATTGGTGGTAAAAATAATAAAAGCCTCTGGTCTTTGCGGCTCAAGATACAGGTTGCACTACAATTTGTGATTCACATTCATTCTCAACATCTCACCATCTTCATCATATAATATTTACTCATTTTTCCCTTTCATCTAGATTTGCAGAACATTTTCATGTACTCTCTCTGCTAATTGCTGGGGTCAGAAGTTCAGGAAAAACCAATCCGCCCATGGGGAAGTGGTGAGAAATGTGACAGGAGCTATTTAAAGACTTCTTGATAATGAGGAGGCATGGGTGGAATCTTGGAGCCATTTCATTATAAACACATAGTGTCTGCAATACAACCCCCAACCCCCATCTATCTCTCAACAGCCATAATAAATGTTACCAGCTGTATTTTCTCCAGCCCCTCTGGCAAAACAGAGGTAGAAACTAAGAGTTGTTTGTGTGCTACAGGTTCTACTGATGCATGAAGTAATGATCTTTCCTAGTTCTTCTTTAAACCAGCAAGACTTCCAGACAGTGAATGATTTACTGTGATATCGTGAAGTAAGGCGGATTAAGACTGTCATTTGATTTAGCAAAATGCAAGTTTTCTAACACTACAAATTAGTTCTGCTCTCTAAAGAGAAGTAGTTGTTACTGTTTTATATCTTACAACAAATTTAAAATTAAACAATTTATAAACTGTATACTGTATGGATTCCAAGTGTTCAGTCTAATTCTTACAAGTCCATATGGGCAAATGGTTTCTCTCTCCCAGGCTGAAAAGGCCTGCTGTTGCTCCCTTTTCTCCCTGCCCAGTGTTTATTAATAAACCTAAACAAATGTGACACGCAGCAGCACAGGGACAGAGTGAGTGGAGGCTGGGTCAACTCTCTTTACACCCCTTCATCTCTTAGTTCATCTGCACACACTGCTTGCACTCATTCTTTGCTTTCTCACTTTGCTGTGTCGTTTTAACTCACAATAGAAACGTTCGCTCCTGGCAGAGGAAACAGGAATTTAAGTTAAGAGGTAAGTGCAATTATATTTTATGTTGACATACAACATGCTTTTGATGCTGATCAAATCTGAACAAAAACCCCTGAGAAAAAAAATCTAATCACTCCTGTAGCTCCTAGCTTTCAAACACCACTGAGCAATAGAAAAAACTGTCAGGTTTAACATAAAAGTTTTTTTTTTAATGTTGTTTTTAAACTGCATAGATAAATAAGAAAAATCTGTTTCGAATAGTCAACAAATACAGGTCAGTGCTGTCTTTGGATGGTAGCGGTTTACTGTAAAGGAATGTGCTCTGTGCACATGCCTGTCCTGCAGCACGACAGCTGGTTGCTGCCATGTCTTCCCCAGGGTTTTGTGAGCCATTCAGAGCACATCAGTGTCCAGTCCTTGGGTACTGTGGACAAATTCATGAAGCCAAAAATGGTTGGTGCTGTAGATTTTAGTTTAGTGATTTTCTTATGTGAAATATTTTAATAAAAACACTAGAGCTGTGTCTGGACTTCTGCTGAAGGGGGGTCTGGCCAAGAAACAACAGCTATCAAATGAATTTAGCTCTTGTCTTCTCCATTACAAATCTCTGTGTCATGACACCATTGGGTCAAACTGATCAATTTACTCTCTGTGAGTCTCTGGCCTGTCTTGGAAAACACCTCAGCAAGTGAAACTATTCATCAGGGGAGAGTGCAGATGCCCATCCATCAACACTGTGACATGTTATGAAAATCTTCTTGCTAATGTAATCCGTGTAATGCCACTTGTTGGCGCTTCAAACAAAAACTGTTCATATGTGTTGTGTCTGACTACTGCCAATTTATGAGTTGGTGCCCGGGGCATCTAGCCTGAGGGGACAGCTGCTGGTAGCATATGCTCTGCCCTACTCTGCCCTTGGTCTGCTATACACACCCACGTGTGCTAATAACTACAACAGAATTTACATAGAAGTCTGACAAAAATGTTAACCCAACTCTTCTGATGACATCATTACTGAAGGCCAGGCCAGCATTTATCACATGTAATATGACCTAATGTGCATCAGCCAGGCTGTCTAACATATTCATCTGCTTTTGTTAAGGGATGAGAGTGCTCTAAAAGGGACTTCTACATCAAGAGAAGTGGCAAGATTTAGGCTAAACCGATGGAGGACAACATTTCATTTACTGGGTTGGAGCCTCTCTTTATCAAAGAAGAGGATGCGGAGACAGACAGAACTCACATGGAACCAAGAGCATGCAATACAGCACAATCTGGACTTGCCTTCACTGGAACACAGTTGAATCCATCATCTTTAATTAAGCCATACTTACAGGAGATGGATGATTTACTGAAGAGCTGTGAGGAGCTTACTGGTATTCCCTTTGGATCTCGTTACTTAGAAAGTTACACAGAAAAAAGCATGAGTGAATCAAGTCATGATCCGAGCAAAGAGAAAGTCACAACAGAGAGCTATAGAGAAACAAGTTATCTTTCCACAAGCTATATTGACATTCACATAGATGCAGCAGATGCAGAAGACCACCCCGCACAAAGCCAGGCACAAGGCACAGGCACAATTATCAACAGGTGTGAAATGGCCACAGAAGAGTCTCACCTGACAAAAATGCCTCTAACTTCAGCAGAAAACAAACTGAGTGAAACTATGCTGGAGTATGAGGGCCAGCTGTTGGGGATGTTAGCCATGCTGGAGAACTGCACGGAAGACGCTGGGGTGGACTTTGAGCCACAAAACCAGGCTACTGATATAAGCCAAGAATATGTAAACATAACAAAGAATCCTCATCGGTGTAGGGGTACCACACTAGTGCCTGTTCAGCAAGAGAAGCCAGTGAAGTTGGAGACCCAGCCAATGCAATTAGAAACCTGCATTGCTCAACATGCAGAGGGAGATGAAGCTTCCAATAACAGCAGAGATGTTGTGACAGTAGATTCAGTACCAAAAGGAAGCCAGCAGAACCCTTTGCTTGGATGTGATAACATGGGTGGCTTCTCAGTGGAAATGTCAGGGAATTTCAATGCAGACCAGAGGGTTTTTGATCAGCAGTTCTTGTTTTCAAGGCCATCAAAGCCATTTGATAGTAAAAAAAATGACCCAAAAGACATAACTGGGGCTGAAGTAGATGACACTGAAATGACAGCTGAAGAGAGACATGAGCTCAGACTAGACACCATTTATCTGAGATCTGGCATGAATGAACTAGGACAGTTGGGGTCTCAGATGGAGGACTGCATACAGGAGGTACAGCAGTTAGAGAAGAGAAGAAAGGAGCTGCTGTTGGAGGTGCTGGAGTTACGAGGGAATAAAGACAGAGAGAAGGCAGAGGGGAGCAAAGAGGAAGAAGAGGAGACAGCAGAACAGATGGACAGCAAAGTGGCAGAGCTGATAAATATGCTGAAGAAAGAGGAGGAAGGGAGGAGGGAGGAGAGGAAAAGGGAGATACAGAGCCTCAGGGAGGCAAGAGCAGAGGAGGAGAGAAGGATATGGAAGATCAACCTGGAGAGACAGTGGCTACAAGAGCAGCTCAGACAGCTGAAGAAGAGGCTCTTCACCATGGCTAGGGACTGTGCTCACAGTCAGGCCGCTTTCAATGCCCAGCATTGTGCAGTGGAGCTACTAAAGAGAGAAGAGGTATGAAACCCTCTAGTAGAATTTTTATCTCTGCATTCAATAAAACCCTCACTTTGAAATCTTTGTTTCCATGTTGCAGGAGAAGCTGCAGTCCCTGGTGCTGCAGCTGACCACAGAGGGCTGCCAGCTCAGGTTAGCCCAGCAACAACGGCTCTCGGGACTAGAAGCAGATCTTCATGCAAAGTGCTCCAGTCAGGCCTCCAGCACACAGGAGGAGCTGACGGACTGCAGGAGGCACTCCTGTGGGGACATCCAGCAATATGTGTACGGTGGGCTGAGAGCCCTGGAGGACAGGTGCTGTCACTGTCCAGTACTGGTTGTCACACTACAACATATTTGGTATTTAGATGCTGATTAATCTTTTAACAGTAAGCCATGTTTGTACTTTCAGGTGTAAATAAGAAATCACATCCAGTCATTTATTTGTTTTAAACTTGTCTCCATGCTTATGACTATAGGTAGTGTGTTGCTCATATTTCAGTGTTGGCTAGAAATTCATTCAACTTTTAGGGGTTACATTGGCCAGGTATGAACCCATTTTGCTGGCACTGCTGAAGAGGAGAGAAGCAACTGCTGGAGCATTAGTGAAAGCCAAGGAGCAGGCCCAGGAGCTGAAGGCCCAGCTGAAACCCATAAAAGAGGAGATCCAAAAGCTTAAGCTCCAGAGAGCTTGTTCGGAGGAAAAAATCAAACTGATACACATACATCGGAGAGAGGATGCGGGCCAGTACAAGGTGAGCAAGATAACATAGAGACAGGTGTTTAGAATAGGGAAGATAAGACAAAAACATTTAATAAGGCAGAAGCAGCTGAGCCCAGGGAGCAGACAAACTATCCCTGCAAGGTAAAATAGAAAATGCCTGATTTAATACTCAAGACACCTAAGTATTAGTACCGTTACAGGAGACAGTGTACTGTCTGGAGGAGAGAAGCAGAGAGCTGAAGACTGAGTTGAAGATTCAGAAGAAAAAAAACAAAGAAATAGAGGAGCTGAAAGACAGTCTTACCAAACAGCTCCTCCTTTACAGGTAAGAGGTGTTGATCTGTTCTGTTTCATACTTTATACTTTAAGGAATCACTCTAATTAAAATATTATTTCTACAGGGCTGCAGTTGAGGACTATAACAAGTGTGACCATGTGAAGAAAACTTGACCTGCTATTCACAAAACTGAGTTCTATGATTTAATAGCAAACTGTTTTATTTTTTTTCTGCAACAGTGAACACCAAGGCTCAAGTAATGCACTTTAGACATATTTTGAAGCATGCCATTGTTCAAAAACATACATTTTTAGAACAGCCTGTAAAGATCGACTAGACCGCTGCTCGTAGAAGGGTTTTGTTGTGCTTCTTGTAATCTAGGACGTCCGATGACTTAATGTCTGTTTCTAGAGCAGAGAGGGGTTCATGTACTTATAAGGGGAAACATGGCTGAAGAACTAAGCACTGGGGCACAGAGTAATAAAGTGAGACAGAGAGCACCAAAACATGACACCAGTCACACAAAAGGTATGAGCAAAGTGTGATGATGCATAACCACTTCTTTCACTAACATGATTATTTAGAAATACATCCAAGTTTAGCAAGGCTCTGACCTTATTAATAAAATATGTACAAAATGTTTCCAATAGATCAAACGACTCAAACACTGATGGAAGACTTTTTATTAGGAGTGCACTCACCATACAAAATATTGAACTACAAATCTACTGTGTATCAGAGTGACAACATTTCAATGACTAATTTGCATTAATGTGGTGAGGGGAAGTGGGACCACAAACGGCCAATTCAAAACAGATTCACTATGAAATTCCATTTCCATACAGAAAGAGAAGGAGTGGAAATCAACATTCAGAACAATCACATGGAGACCAAGCTGAAGCAATTACCATGGCATGCATTATGTTAAAGAATTGAACAGCATTTTTACTTAATTACTTCTCTACAACACTTTCAACATGTGTGGAGGGCACTGTATACACTATTTAACAAGTTATTGTGATGTAGCATTTGGACTGTCAGTATGATTGTCACCTTATGTTCCAGAAAAACATTTTATTTAAAAAAAAAAAAAGCATTAATTAAAATACTTCAAAAGCCAATTTGATTGCTGTATATACAGTATGTATTCAAGAACAACCAGGTGAAGATCAACTCTGAGGCTTTTGAAGAGCCAAATTTTGCCTAAAAACTACTATATGCTTAACTGGTAGCTTTTCTGACATTAAAGACAGCTGAGTGTGACACAAAATATACTTTTAGTAGTACAAATAAAAGTAGAAACACACATTTACCATACTCACCATTTCTCTCTTCCATGTTGTCATTTGGCCCTGACTGAATCGCTCTAAATGTTAAATCCCAAACCAAAAAGAACTCTATCTTGACTGAGTCATTAGCTGAAGAGGAACCTCCCATCACACTTTTCCCTGCATTGCTGCCTGCTCCAATTCATGTTACAGATTTTCACTAGAGACATGGGCTCCTGACAACAGTTGCCTGTTGTCTGTTACTTAATTTTTTTTTATATACTGCTGAAAATCTTATATGTTGTCTTTGAGGGCAAATAATTCCATCTAAGACAATATAGTCCAAAGAACTCGTGTTCTCTGGCTGTCCATGGCTAATATGCTAGAGTAAAATGCGGTCTAAGTTCTTAATGTTTGCCAGGCTTGCATAATGTTGTCTTCAGTCACCAAGCAATGATCCAATGTTTGTTGGGGTTCTAGGGGAAATCAGAGATCTTGGCTGTGTGGCCTCCGTGGACAAACTAATAGACACAATAAAAGCCACAATATACGTTATTTTGATACGACAAACAAAATGATGTTAACCATTAGAATAAAACTTAAGCACCAGTTCAGGGGGTTTTAATGAGACTCACCAGTAGCTCAAACATGCCCCTCTCTGCATCTTCTGGGGGCTTCATCTCTCCAATTTTACCACAAAAACAGACAAATGCAGGATGTAACTGTATGGAAGTAATCTAAGTTTTGAGAAACACATCACCGTTAGGTTACCTGATTATAAAGAGTAAGATTATGCTTTAGCTACACTCAATGTTAGCGCATCAATTGCTACCTGTAGTTAGATCATGTTAACTAGTTGTAACAAGCGATGTGACAACATGACCTACAAACTGAAGGTGACCGTTTTGAGTAACGTTACACTAAAACTCACACAATTGAAGTTTATCCGAATTGTGTTGTGACTGATAGAGTTCAGCAATAGAGCTTCGACAGCTAATTGCTACCTCTGCCAGCTGCGTAGCTAACGTTTGCTAAAAATGCCTAACATGTAAATGAACAGCATTAGGCTAATTGTTACTGACAATAAAAAAAACAACAACACACTATAACGTTACCTTACTTGCCTGTCATTGCTGGTATCTAAAACAGCTGAAAGACCACAAACCTAAGTTCTATTTCTAAATTCAGATTTACTTTGAACGTACTTAACCAGACTTGTACTGCGTTTTATTCTCGTGTTGAGAGAGAAAAAAGTCAAAGTGCCTTTTCTTGCTCGCTATTGGTCAACTAAAGTACCCTAACCCTATGTCTGATTGGACACTTGAGTGAACTAATGTCTTATTGGCTGTGGATGACGCGGGCCTTTTAATGGTTAAAAAAAAAAAAAAAAAAACACCAACATTGCTAACATGAT